ATGTGTGGCTGAACACAGGCAGGTGTTGTGGGCCCATAGCCTCTGCCCTGAGTCACTTCAGAGAGCAAACCATCTGTCGGTGCTCCTGGGGCTGGGCCTGGTCAGTGCTCCTTTTCTGAGCTCAGCAGCCACTCCCAGAACCTGCAGTGGAGGCAATGCATTCACAATTTGCAGAAGCTCCCTTTGTGAGCAAGCTGCTGCCAGCCAGAGCCTCATGGTGTTGCAATCAAGGGAAAGGTGTGACCCCAAAGCCCCCAGCAGTTTGGGCTTATTAAGCTGGAGGTGTAAAGGATCATCTCGAGGGGAGTGATGGGAACCCTGTACCAGGATGCTCCAGCTGGGAAGATTTCCTCTGGGAAAGGCCAGGCAGGTGGGGTATGTGTGTGTGTGCTGTGGGGGGAGGGGGAGGGATGGAGGGAGGTATCTGGTTGGGGGGTTTGTGAGGTATGTGGATTTGGTGGGTGCATCTTGGCCACCTGTGCCCATGGTAAGGACAGAGGCTGTACTGCAAGCCACACCCAAATTGTCGGGTGGTGAAGCTCAGCCCATCTCCTAGAGGGGCAAGTGAGAACCATCCACCCTCACAAAGAATGTCCATGCTGCTGTCTGGCTGCCAGAAGGAGCGTCCCCATTTATCCCAGACCTGCTTTTGCACATCTGCCCTGGGGTTGCTGTGTGTGGGGCTGGCAATGAAGATGTAAACAGTTAATATATACTGACAGCCTCAGGTGGCCCCCTGAGCTCACAGAAGTTCCCCAGGTAGGGACTGCTGTCTGCTACGTTGCTGCCACTTTTGCTCATGGTGCCTGGTGCTCTACGGCCTTGGCTCTACTAATTCTGTTGAATGTCTTTCTGTCTGTTCTGCTCTCCCTTCCTGAAACTCAGACACCTGCTGATTTTCTTCTTTCCTCTCCCCCTTGCCACCTGTCTTTTTGTTCTATCTTGGGGGCTTTCCATAACTGGTTTCCCGCCCTTCCATTGAGGATTCCATTTAGCCATGGTGCTCTTAATCCCCAAGATTCCCTCAGCTCTCTGAGAAAGAAAACTTGTGCTTGGTTCGTGGACCATCAAATTGGCTCTAAGGACGTCACCGGGAGGTTTTTGCGGGAGTTCTCTTCACGCGGCTGTCTCTGCTGATTGTTTTTGCTACTTTAGACTATGTCTCCCGTGTGAGGGACTGTCCTCAAAGGTTTGGTCATTCCTGCCACTGGTGCTTGTGAGTAGCCACTGCAAGGAGAACCAGAAAACAAAGGCACGGATGGGGCCAATCCTATGTGTTTCTTTGCAGGGTAACTGAGCAAGGCCATTTCACAGAGATTCCACCCCCCAACACACACCTTCCCATTGCCACCATCCTTAACTATTTCATCCAAATGTGCAGGCTCTCGTCAGCTCCTAGGACCCAGAACCACAGGAGCTGACTCACCATCTCCTGCTGACTGGGGACCTTTTGCTGTATGTGGAGAGGAATCATGGGTAGGCGAGGAGACACTCTGCCAGTGCTGACAGTCCTGGGCCCTGGAGTGCCAATGCCACAGGGGCTGGAGTGGCAGACCAGAGGCTCACAGCTGCAAGCCCTGAGGACAGGAGCCCACTGCTGCAGGCGTTAGAAGTCAAAGACTTATGACTCTAGGTGCCCAGGCTGGAGGCCAGAGAACAGCTAAAAATAGGGAGGTGTAGTTAGGATCAAGGGCCCCCAGGAAACTTCCATAATCTGAGCTGCTGACAAACAGAAAAGATGACACCATCCCTCACACCACTTCCCTCACACCCTCTCCCCACACCTAGAACTCAGATGGGCGGAAACGGAGAACATGGGAGACCATGGTGGGACTAGAAGGTTGTGGGCATGGCCAGCCAGAATGCTGCTTTCTGCACACCAAATTATCATAGAAAATGGGCTACTCCCAGGAGCAAACAGGTTAAAAAAAAACCCAGGCCCAAAATTCTCTGGCATCCCAGCTGGGACCCCTCTCTGCCTCACATGAGAACTTTGTTCTCTCTCTCTCTCTCTCTCTCTCTCTCTCTCTCTCTCTCTCTCTGGTACTAGGGTTTAAACTCAGGGCCTACACCTTAAGCCACTCCACCAGCCCTTTTTAGTGATTTTTTATTTCACGATAGGGTCTCGTGAACTATTTGCCTGAACTGGCTTTGAACCACGATCCTCCTGATCTCTGCCTCTTGAGTAGCTAGGATTACAGGCCTGAGCCACCAGTGCCCGGCCTGTTCTTTCTCTTAATAAACCTCTTGTCTACAATCTCACCCTCTGTTGTCTGTGAATTGCATTCATCACACTCATGAGACAAAGAACTCAGTGTGAATTGGGAACTCTACTTTGAGCTAACAGAGCTGTGACCCTAGGCAGCACAGCAGGCCCCAATCTCACAAGAAGATTCCATTTCAGAGGCTTATTGCTCTGGACTTTCACCACCAGTAGCCCTGGCACTTGGCAACTACTGTAATCTTCAGCTGGCAGCAGACTGCAGGAAGCAGCAGCAGCTGGCACCTTCTGTTGTTATAGCTCTCACACAGTCCTAGGTGCTGGAACTCTCATCCTACAGGAGAAAGTGTTACAGCTCTCATGTTTAGGGTATCTGAGACCCTTGGCCTTTAAGACTTGGCAGCTCTCTGGAACTCTTCCAGTGACCAGGGCCCAAAGTTTCTCTTCCCTGGCTCTTTACAGCATTCTGTCTCTCTTCAGCCTCAGCTTTCTACCCTTTATCACCTTCTCCCTACCTCTACCATTCCTCCTTGTCTCTGCTGCCCCTCTGCTCCCTGTCATTTCTGTCCTAGTCCCTCTCTGGAACTCTTAACCTGCTGCTGGTTGCTACTGCCACTGTCACCACTGCTGCCTCTAGGGCAGCAGCTGTTGCTGCTTCCACCACCCTCTTCTCCTCTCTTTGTAGTACCAGCTCAGCTTGCACTCCTAAGGATACAGATCAAAGGTAGGCAAGAAAAACCCACTCTAGAGAAGCCTTGCATTGGGTCTAACACCAGGGGGCAGCACTGGCTGACTCAGAAAGTGAGCCACACGGCTTCCTTATATAGCCAGGAAGGGGGTGTGGCAAGGGTGTCTGCACCAATCACAGCTCAGTCCTTCATGCAAATGAAGGGCCATGTTTACACCAATCACAGGCCTTCTCCTGAGCCACCAGGGCAAGTGCGCCCTCTCTGGCCTGGGTAGAAATGACTGCCAGAGTTCCCCAAGGTTTCTGATGGCAAAAAGTCCAGTGCAACCAAGTCGTGGCTTGGACAGTGCCTTCCAGAGCAGAAGTTGTGCTTCAGCAGCAATTATTGTATAGCTTCCTCGAGTGTTCCAAGCAGCCAGTGCTGGTGTGAGGGCAGTCCAACTGACTGCTTGGCTGATAGTCCTTTGCTCAAAGCAGCCAGGGCTCTAGGGAAGGGGCTAACAGCTGTCACTTGGGGAGTCAAATCACTCCAGCCCCCAACATCTCAGTTTGTATAAAGGAAAAGTAAACATTAAGAGGAGGTGCTTACAACAAAGGCTCATCATTAATATTAGCAGTGCTAAAACAGTATTTAACAGGACTCTAACAATGCTTAATTCCTGCCTTGAAGCCCCAGGGAGAGACGGGTCCCTCTCACTCATCTCACAGGCACATGTCCAGTTAGAAGTGGGGCCTGTAAGGAATGTCATTTAAGCACAGAAGTCCAGGGCCCAATGCTAGACATTACAACTGTTCCTCTGTCCCCTCCTCCCACTCATCTTTACACTATTCAGCCTGCTGAGTCCCAGAAAGAGGCAGATGATTCTGACACCAGGCCACGCCTGTCCTATGAGAGTCTCTTGAACGCCAGTCTTTTCTGGATGACAACTAGCAGGGTGGCAACCAGGGCCCCAGAAGTTTGAGCCAATGACCAATGTTACAATCCTGCAGCCCCAGGTGCTTCTCTCAGGATAACCATGCATGGACTCCTGAAACATCTCAAGGGACATGAAGCTGCCCCTCAACAGTTTTCACTGGAAAAGGAGGGCATAAGCAAAGCATAGTACTGTGTCTGCAAGACTCTAAGACAATTTGTACTTACTGTATGCCAGCGTGTGTTACTGTGATTTTTTTTTTTGGTGGGGTTGAACACAGAGCTTCACACTTGCAAAGCAGGTTCTCTACCACTTGAGCCACACCTCCAGGTCATTTTATTCTGGCTACTTTGAAGATGGGGTCTCATGAACTATTTGCCCAAGTGGGCCTTGAACCATGATCCTCTCAATCTCAGCCTCCCAAGTGGCTAGGATTATGGACCTGAGTCACTGGCACCCAGCATACTGTTATATTGTTCTTTCTATTTTAGAAAAAAAATCATACACATCAACCGATTGAATGGACTTTTGTGTCTGGCTTTCAATGCTTTCCTTTACTGTACATGAAGTAAAACATCCAACAATCAAACTTAAGATCCCAATCTAGTTCCCAAGTCCAACAAAGGCAAGACTCTCAAACTTTGTTCTGTTTAAAATCACACAGCTGCAAGCTGCAAGCTGCAAGCTGATGGAGCCCTTTCTTGGGGGCCTGACGAGGCCCACAAATTTTCATTCTGACCTCCTAGTGACTCTGATTTTAAGAAGCTATGGTCCAGAACTGCACAGTTCATTTCAGTGGACAGTGGCCATTGTGCCTATTAAAACTAACACCTGATTAAAGTTAAGATTGGTTAAAACAAAAACAACACAGGCAGCCCAGAAACCCTGTTATGGCAGGGCTGATGGACAACGGGCCCGGTGAAAGCTGCCAGGCATCTGAGGGCAGCTCGTGGGCGGATCCGGCAGAGACCTGGAAGCCCAAACCCTGGGAGAGAGACCTGGTGGGAGATCTGGGACAGACCGGAACATTTGAGTCCGGAACTCACCGCCGCGGCGCTTGCACACGAGGGACACACTAGGGCGACGGACACGCTGCGCTGGGGGACGCTGTTGGGCGCCGGATCCAGTTCCGGCCCGACCTCCACACCCCTGACCCAGCCTCAGGGGTCCGGGCCTGACCCCCCCCGCACCCCCCACAGTGACCCCGTGACCTCAGAGGAGGGCGACCGAGGTGAGCCCGCGCTGCCCGCAACAGGGTGAGAGCGAACAGCTGGCCTCGGATACATCCGGCCGCTCCCGGTTGATTCGTTTGCCCCGTGCACCCTGGCGGTGCAGGCGCTGCCAAGAGGGAGATCGTGAGCTCAGACAGGGAGCCCGCCAGTGTTTGTTGACTGGCGGCCCGAGCGGCGGCCGGGGGGGTGCGGAGCAAAGCCGGGACCCCGCTTGGCAGCGTGACTCCCCAGCTCCCACCCGGTGTCTGAACCTTCTCACCGCAGGGCAGTAAGCGCACCCTGCCAGGTGGCTTTATTTTTATTTTTTGAGACAGGTTCTCTCTTTGTAGTTCGGGCTGGCCCCGAACTCATGATCCTCCTGCCTGAGCCTCCTGCGTGCCGGGGTTACAGATGTGCGGCACCACACCCAGCTCCAGGTGGCATTTTTGAATGATGGTTTAGTTCCTAAAATGGATGTGGGTTTCAACGCGCGTTTTCCCTTTAGAGTTTTTTTTTTTTCTTCCTTTTTTAATTAGAATGTGCTGCACACGACTGCCGTGTATCTTACTTAAAAATGTAATTTTGAGGGGGCTAGAGGTGTGGCTCAAGCAGTAAAACGCCTGCCTAGCAAGTGTGAAGCCCTGAGTTCAAACCCCAGTGCCACACACACAATTGAAAATGTAATTTTGAAAACGAACCCTCAAACCAATATGAATGTAACTGACTGGCCCACACTGCAGGACACTTCTACCTGACCCCTTCATCAAGGGTCCACTTACATACAGGTTCTGCAAGGTGGGTGGTTTAGACTTGCTGAATACTCCAGGTGCCATATTGTTCATTTAGAAACGAGCCGTGTTCATTTGAACTCAAGTTGACGATGTAATTTTTGTCAGCAGGGTCTGGTGAGCCTGTGCCAAGGATGGTGTAGGGGTCTTTGTCTCCTGCTGGTATGTGGGAGGGGAGTCCTTTCACAGGTCTGTGGACAGGTCTTGCTACCCCATCTTACAGGTGGGAAGCCAAGATTTAGGAGGCAAAGATACCTAGAGGAAGTGTGACTGTCCAAGCCTGGGTCTGTGCTGAGGGTAACTCTGCTCTTAACTGAATCCTGTCTGGACAGAAAAGATGTGGGCCTCCTGCTGCTGGTGGTGGGTCCCGAGAGGTCCCCATGGCCTGGTGGTAGAACACCCAGGGATCTTGCCTCCTGGAGCAGCCAAGGAGTGGCTGCCTCCACTGACTCTCGAATCTTGAAGGACATCACGCCTTTGCCCAGGCTGCTCTGGGTGTTGCTTGCACATGTGCATTAGGGAGCCCACAATCAAAGGGGGCCCCAGTTAAAAGGTGGGGGTTTTCTCTGCTGGAGCTGCTATCTCAGAAGGATGCGTGGGGCCATCTGCCTTGAGCAGACCTTTTTTGCTTTTCGAGGTAGCAATGATGCAGATGAGCTGGAAGACATAGCTCTGCATTGATAGGATGTGTGATGGTCGAGTGAAGTAATGCCTCTGGAGGAACTTTGGCAGTACTTACCAGAACTGAAGATGGCCCAACAGTGCCACACCCCTGTTAGAGTACAGCCTTCCATGTGGGGACTCACCTCATCCCCTCTCTGCTTCCCTGGCTCCTTCTCACCCTTCAGGTCCAGTGACTGTCTTTCTGTTGGGGGGCCCCTCCATCCCCCCACTCTGGGCATTTCCTTGCAGAATGTGGGCTTCATGGGAGCCAGGACTGTGTCTGTCCCACAAGGAGCCTGTCTCACCACTGCTCAGTGGCTCTTGGTGGAAGGAATGCTACCAGCCTTCAGGGCTTGGAACTCTGTGCAGGAGGGCAGTTACCTCTCTCCCAGCTGTGTCATCAGGAGTGCCTAGGCAGCAGCCCTGGGTCTGTATCACCAGCTCTGCTCTCTGAATCCTGTGGCCATCCCACTCCTGCTCTTCTGCTAGGGCCTGATTAGCAACTTGGCTCCCACCCCCCATGGTGACCCAGGAATTTGTGGAGATACTGAAAGTGGGGCTTACTCCTCCACATGGTGTGGCATGATTTCCTTTGACCTTCTCTGGGTCATCCAGTTTAGTTTCAGTTTTTCAGTGAGCATCCTATGTGTGCATCTTTATGTGCAGCTCTGATCTTACCTTAGGATTGATTCTTAAAATCCAACCATGGGAACAAAGGACTTGCATTCCTGTCATCAGGGTTTCTGCTTGAGGCGTGGTGGCTTACATCTATAATCCCAGCCACTAAGGAGGTGGCAACAGGAGGATAGAGGCCAGTGAACTCTGAAATACAAAGGGGCCATGGTAGACTTCAAGTGGTAGAGCACTTGTCTAGCACGCATAAGGCCCTGAGTACCACAAAGAATAAGTTTGAGCTGCTTGTGCTATGACTTTGAGAGAGCCTTTCTGACTGTGGAGTCAAGCCCTTAGCCTTTCCAGGGCTGAGCCCCATGTGGGGACTGCCCTCTGGGTGGCCTGTGAGTGCTGTTCCCCAGTGATATGATCCCTGGGTGCTTTATCATCAGGGACCTGGCCTGCAGGAGCACTGCATAGGGTCCAGGCTGAGACCCTTTGTACAGTGAAGGCTGGGCACTGAACCTCCTAATGCCAGAGAGCTCCCACACCTGGGTGAGGAGCAGCAGGCACTATTCTCTGAGATCCTGGAGGAGCTTGGGCTCCTCATCAGGGTGATCCAGAAGGAGAATCATGTCATTTGGTGGTGTAGTTGTGACATGGCATTGAACACTCCTGGTGCCTCTGACACTGCAGTTTTCAGTTTCTCATTGCGCTCCCCCACTACAGCAAATGTTGAAGTGTTAGTTGCCTCATTCTGCCCATCCATCCATCTGTCCATTGTTCATCACCTGCTGGTGGTAAGTGCTCTTCTCCTTAGCACCCAGAAAATGCCATCTCTTCCCCAGAGCACTGCAGAACATGTCACTTGTTCCTGTCACCAGCAGGAATCCAGCGTTGGGGCTGGAAATAACACATGGTGGGTCTTCTGTTTGCAGTTTCTCTTGTTTTCTGTTCCCTCCCCTGCAAAGCAGATAGGGAAGAATTTGTCAGAATGAGAAGAGGAAACGTTTAGGCCACCTTGCTTTGCTTACACTCGTTCCCTGTCTTCCTGAAGTCTGTACAGCTCATGTACTATCACTTTCTTGTCTTAGCTGGTCAAGCCCTGCTGTTGCCTTGCATTTATTTGATATCCCCATGGTAGCAGAAATCCAGGATGTCAGCAGACCAGGACCGGCCTCTGAGCCCTTGGTGGAGACAGAATGGAGCAACTAGGGGACCCTTGCTAGCTCTTACATTGAGAAATGACATAGCCTTTGGGAGCCAATGTACTTGAAACCCAACATTTGCAGAGCCTGCAAGCAGCCATAAGCTGAGTTGAGCTTCTGCACAGAAGCCAAGGTGCCTGTTTTCCTCCCATCTTGACCAGAACTGGAGGTTCCCTCTGCTGAGCCCCTGGCTAGAGCAGAAACCAGCCAGCCACACAACGAGGCTGGCAAGTAGAAGCTAGCCCATGGTTCTGGCAGATTTCATTGTTGTAGAGTTTGTTTTGTTAGATAATTATAAAGTATTGTGCATAATCTGTTTTTTAAATTAAGAGAACAAAACTGTTATACAGCAGCAGTAATGTGGTAGTTTCCCCCTGGCAAGTTAATGAAATAGAAAAGTAGGGATTTGTCAGGGAGTGCATGCTCCACATGACACAGGACCTACAGAGGGACTGAAGGGCAGTGAGGCAGGGATCTACCTGCCTGGCCTTTCCTGCCTTTGTTCTCTTGGGCCTGCTGGCACAGACAAGGCTCACAGCTTCACCCCCAGGACTGTCAACTGTTGTGCCTGCTTGAGAAATGTTAAGCACACAGCCTGTGACCACACATAGATGCCCACTGACAGGTCTTTGTTGGCCTCTGGCATTCAGCACTGTCTTGGGTACCGGTGCCATGCCTGTTGTCCATGGGGACAAGCAGCAATGCTTTCATCCCACAGAGAGTAAAGTCTACATTAAGTCCTTGCTCCAAGCTCGGATGTATCTGCTAGAGCAGGTGTGGGCTTCTGGCCTCATTACCTACAGTTGGCGACACTGCTCTGACTGAGAGTCACAAATTATTGGCCAGTGGGATGGCAGAGACCAGACGGGATGAGGAGTGGAGAGATGATCCTGTTTTCACTGCCAGAGGCCAGCAGGAATGAGTTATGGCGTTAGGGATTTAATACCAGGAGATTATCATCAGCACTGGGAAGGAGACTGTTTTCAGTTTGTGGAAGCAGAGTCCAGGATAGTAGGTGGGCTCCTCAGTTACCAGCTGACCTGTGCAGAAGCGGTATGGAAGTGTGCTGGCTGCCTTTTGTTGCTCTGGACTGGGTGAGAGTGGGCCTGTGGGTGGCATCCTGGGGAGCAATCTAGCAGAAGCAGGTTTTGTAGTTCCCCCTCTCGATGAGCTGTCATTTGCTGATTATTTTGGTCATTATTTAGTGCCTATGTTTTGGGAGAGGGAGGGAGGAGTTACCAAAAAGACAAACTTGACATTCCAACCACAGGAGCTTGCCTTACTTAAAGCTCTGCTGTGTCATTGTGTTCCCACATACATATCCTTTGGGCCTGCACCCTCCAGGCATAGCTCCAGGGTGGCCAGACACCCGGTGGCTCCTATGGTGACTGCTCATCTTACCTAGTATTTCTCCAGACTCAGAATTCCAAACTCCTGTATGAATCTGCATATTTTTTAAATCCTTAAGCCAAAAAGATTAAGTAAAAAGCTGAGAAGCTGAACACTTAAAGACTCCAAAGATGTTGTGTGACTGATGCAGTAGGCTCTTGAATTTGGGGTGTTACCTTACAGTTGAAGTTTCATCAAGCCTCTAGTGGGGTGTTAAGAGGGCATTTTATTTTTTTATTTTTTATTTTTTTTTCATTTTTCTTTTATTATTCATATGTGCATACAAGGCTTGGTTCATTTCTCCCCCCTGCCCCCACCCCCTCCCTTACCACCCACTCCACCCCCTCCCGCTCCCCCACCTCAATACCCAGCAGAAACTATTTTGCCCTTATCTCTAATTTTGTTGTAGAGAGAGTATAAGCAATAATAGGAAGGAACAAGGGGTTTTGCTGGTTGAGATAAGGATAGCTATACAGGGCATTGACTCACATTGATTTCCTGTGCGTGGGTGTTACCTTCTAGGTTAATTCTTTTTGATCTAACCTTTTCTCTAGTTCCTGGTCCCCTTTTCCTATTGGCCTCAGTTGCTTTAAGGTATCTGCTTTAGTTTCTCTGCGTTAAGGGCAACAAATGCTAGCTAGTTTTTTAGGTGTCTTACCTATCCTCATCCCTCCCTTGTGTGCTCTCGCTTTTATCATGTGCTCAAAGTCCAATCCCCTTGTTGTGTTTGCCCTTGATCTAATGTCCACATATGAGGGAGAACATACGATTTTTGGTCTTTTGGGCCAGGCTAACCTCACTCAGAATGATGTTCTCCAATTCCATCCATTTACCAGCGAATGATAACATTTCGTTCTTCTTCATGGCTGCATAAAATTCCATTGTGTATAGACACCACGTTTTCTTAATCCATTCGTCAGTGCTGGGGCATCTTGGCTGTTTCCGTAACTTGGCTTTTGTGAATAGTGCCGCAATAAACATGGGTGTGCAGGTGCCTAAGAGGGCATTTTAAATGTTGCTGTGGGCAAGGATGGGTAAGCCAGGCAGGCACTAACATACTACATCCTTCTCTCCAGCACAGCCAGGTGACTCCAAAGTGACACTCGTCGGCACCATGCTGCTCCATATGATGCTGCCCTTCAGGCGCCTGGTCTGGTCCCTGGCCTCCCACCAGGTGGCTCCTGGGAGACACAGAGGACATGGTCACCTGCACACAGCTCCAGTGGCCCGCACAGATGGACCTGCCCCGGTGTTCACCCGAGCCCTAGCTTTTGGGGACAGAATCGCCATTGTTGATCAACATGGCCACCACACCTATAGGGACCTTTACTACCGCAGCCTTCACCTGTCCCAGGAGATTTGCAGGCTCCGTAACTGTGTGGATGGTGACCTCCAGGAAGAGAGAGTCTCCTTCCTATGCTCCAATGATGTCTCCTATGTTGTTGCCCAGTGGGCCTCGTGGATGAGTGGTGGCATTGCGGTTCCCCTCTACTGGAAGCACCCTGAAACCCAACTGGAGTACTTCATCCGGGACTCCCGGAGCTCTGTGGTCGTGGCTGGCCAGGAGTACGTGGACCTGCTGAGCCCAGTAGTCAAGAGACTGGGGGTCCCACTCCTGCCTCTCACATCTGCAGTCTACCACGGGGCAGCAGAGAGGCTAACAGAAGGGCAGGTGCAGGAGCGGGACTGGCGAGACCGTGGAGCCATGATCTTCTATACCAGCGGGACTACAGGGAGGCCCAAGGGTGCACTGAGCACCCACCGCAACCTCGCAGCTGTGGTGAGTGCCAGGTGTGTTGGGACAGCTCTGTTGTGTCCCTTCCATGCCATCATGGTATCAGTTACAGCCGGCTCTTGGCAGGATCCCCAGGTACCACTCAGGGGTGCCTGTTTACTCACTATGGCTATCATTCATAGCTATCACCACCCTACAAACTGAAAACTGCACTTTCCAAAACAGAACAGTGATGCACTAGGGTGTAAAGGGGTCTAGGGGTCACTATTGACCTGCCAGGACCAAGGGCATGCAGAGGACAAAAGAGATCCTGAATGCTATGTGGTGTAGATCAGAGACCACTAGTCACATAGTCAGGACATGTGAATAGGACCTAAGGTTAGAATTTATCCAATCTGGAAGCAGAAACATCTTTTATGTCTACCCCTGTTGTGTGCATTATTTGTGTTCTGTAGCCTCAACAACTATCATAGCGAAACTCTTTAGCCACACTGCTTACCTGTCTTCTTCCAGAAAGCGTCTATATGTACAATGAAGTCTTTCACACAGTGGGAGCAATAAAATAAAAATGAAAGCTCAAAGCACATGTAATGGCAGGAAATAGGCACACAGATTCTTGGGCAACAGCTTGGCTGTGAGTACTTAGTGAGCTTCACACTGGGGACTGGTGCACAGATGTGATTCATGCAGGAGTGGACACGCTTGCATATCTTCTCTGGACCTGTTCTCCATCAAAGAAACATAGAGGCCATGAGGCATTCAAGAGATGATGTCTTCATTGTGATCATACAGGAACTTGAAGGGCCTTGTGCCTGTGGCTCCTCAGTACGAGCTAAGGACATGCCCGGAGCCTGACTCCTGACTCCTGTCTCAACTGAGTGGATGACAGTAGTGCAGGGATCACAGAGAGCTCAGCAAAGACAGGTGACAGTATGAGCTCCACTGCGTCCTACATCCTTGGGTATAAGCGAAAGGCCAAGCTGTGGACATCAGTGCTACAGTCACACCTCTGCCTTCTGTGGTATTTGCAGAGCCCGTGCTGATGCTTCTGGGGTGTCTAGAGCCCCTGGCTGTGTGTCTGTGTCTCCATCACCTGAATAAGTGGGAAGCACCACAGGTCCTTGTTCATCTTGTTCTCATCTCTCCTTCAGGAGCTGCCAAAGAGGAGAACAGAGCTAGCTTTCTTCCTCCTCTGTCTCAGGCCCTCTGAAGCACCTCATATTCTGGTGCAAGTCTGCAGTAGAGCAGGGCTCCTGTTCTCAGGCAGTGCTCTTTCTCCTTCAGGTGACTGGGCTAGTCCACATGTGGGCATGGACAAAAGACGATGTGATACTCCATGTCCTCCCACTGCACCACGTCCACGGTGTGGTCAACAAGCTGCTCTGTCCACTCTGGGTGGGAGCCACGTGTGTGATGCTGCCTGAGTTCAGTGCTCAGCAGGTAAGTCAGGGATGCTGTGTTGGTGCTGTCCATGGGCAGATGTTGCAGGTGCAGGGGTGGTGGCCACTGTGCCAAAAGTGTGGTGAGGGAGGTGGGTGAGAACAATTCTTTTCTTACCCTTCTGGAAATCAGAAGTCTGAAGTGAGTCTGATGGAGCCAAAATCAGGGTTGGGCAGGGTTTCCATCGGGAGGCCCTGGCGGAGTCTGTTGCTGGGTACAGCAGGCGGAGGCCCTGTGCTCGTAGCTGCATTTCTCGCATCTCTTCTGGGGTCTCATAGGCTTCTCTGCAGTCACCACGCCGTCTGCCTCCTCTTGTAAAGGCCTGTGGAATAATGTGAATTGTCTCTGTCTCCAGACCGCAACTTAACCCGTCCACATTGTTGCTTTTGCTGTGTTGGCTGACTTTCTCAGAGGTCAGGAGGAGGATGTGGACAATAAGCGCCGTTGTCAGGTGCCATTCGTGCTCTCGGTTCCTCTGCAGTGGACCTGCAGCTGGGGACTTGTCCTCTCCACTTTTCAGTGTCTGTTCCTTACCTGCACTGCCGTTGGGCATGTTGGAAGCAGGGATGAGGTGTTAGCTGTAGGGAGTGGAGGTGGCTGCGACAACAGAATTGCTGAGCCACCTGTGTGTCATCATCTGTGCAGGGCAGCAGATCAGGGTCACTGCTTTGGAGGGGAAAAAAACTGGGTTTAAATGCAGATGCTGATTCTCAGTGACCCAGTGTGGTATACTCTCAGAGCCCTATTCCTGTGTCTGTCATTTGGGAACAATGACCCTTGCCCTGGGCCTTATAAGCCTGGAGACTTATGTCCAGCAGGCTTAGTGCAGTAGGGTTCACTGTCCAGCCTGTGGAGAACAAGACCCCCAGCGTGTGAGGATGTTCGAGGCCGGTTTGGTTCTTTCCTCTGTCCTGACCATCAGCTTTGTGGACAGTAGTGCTGTCTATTCTTGGGGGCTGGCTTGCCTCTCCTACTCATGCCCTTGACTGTTCTGCCCTGATCTTGGCCTGGCTGACCTGTCTTCCTTTCCCTTGGCTGCTGGGGCCTCTATCTTCTGCTGCAGCCCAGGCACTCCTCATGTGCTCGCTGTGGTCACATAGGCAGCAGCCTCTCAGCTATTGTCCTGGTCAGTGCCAGAATGTGTAGTGAGCACTACCACAGGTAGAGTCCATAGTTCAGTTTTCCAGAGTAAAGATGGCATGGATCTCAGGTGAGCTGCACTGGTGCCTTCCTCAGCCCATGCTCCTGTCCTAGCACCACATGGGTACCACCACCTGCCCGTCCCTGTGGCTTGAGACTGCTGGGGCTTGGAGGATGTTCTGGGGTCTCTGCTTAGGTTCTCTGCCCAAGGTCTCTGTCCCCAGGGTCTCTGACTTAGGTCTCTGCTTTGGGATCTCTGCTCTATGGTCCCTTCTGTGGGGGGTCTGTCCTGGGGTCACTGTTCTGGGGACTTTGCTCTAGAACCTCTGCCTAGGGTCTCTACTCTGGATTCTGTGTTCTGGGGTCTGTGTTGTTATGACTTTGCTCTGGGCTCTTTACTCTGGAGACTTCCCCCTGGGCCTCTGTTCCAGGGTCTGGTGACACCTGAGGCTATGTGGGCAGTGGAGGTGGCCTGCCAGTTGATCACACAGGGCTAGGTTAGGGCATCAGGCACTTGTTCTCACCTGTTGGACTTGCTGCTCAGCATGCAGTTTGTTGAAGCCATTAAGCTTATATCCTCCCTACCAGGCAGCAGTGGACAGCTGAAGAACCAAGGCCACTGTGTGCCGTGTCCCTTGCATAACATCCTCCTTTCTTTCCTCACACACTATTGTTTCCTATCTGTGTGGCAGTGGGGATGCTGCGGTTTTCCTAGAATGACCTCTGGCCTAGACCCCAGAGTTTGGTGTGATTTGTTAGTATTTCTCTCACCCATAATGCAGCTCACTTCTTTGCCTGTCAAGGTTGTAGGATTCCTGGCTCTTGTTATGCCCTTAAAGTTGCTTAACTTCGGAATATTTCCCACTGTAGATTCTTTCCCCTGCTTTGGCTTGTCTTTTCATTTTCTTAATGCTGCCTTTCAGAGCATGTTTTTAATCTTGACAAGATGTGTTTTACCATTTTTCAAGTTTTATAGATCATGTTTTTGGTGCCATATGCAAGAAGTCTTTGCCAAACAAAAAGTCATAAAGATATTCTAGGTTGTTTCTTAGAAATTCATAGTTTTAGCTAATACATTGAAGTCTCTGGTTCATTTATATTACTTCTTGTGTAAGGTGTGAGGTGAGAGTCTAAAATCCACTTTTTTGTGGATGGGTGTGCCGTTTGGGTATCCAGTGGATGCAGCCCCATTTATTGAACATGTTACCTTTTTGGGGGGAGGGGCAATACTAGGGTTTGAACTTGGGGACTCATGCTTGTTGGGCAGGTACTCTAGCACCTGAGCCATTCCACCAGCCCTTTTTTTGTTTTGGGTATTTTCAAGATAGGGTCTCATGACCTAATTGCCTTGACTGGCTTCCAACTTCAATCCTACTGATCTCTGCTTCCTGAGTAGCTAGGATTACTGGTGTGAGCCACTGGTACCTGATGAAAGCATTACCTTTTGCCCTATTGGTGACTTGGCTGTTTTGTCAGAAACCAGTTGTCCATGCATGCTGGTTTCTTTGTTGTCTTGCAGGTCTGCCCAGTGATCTGCATCTGTTCTGAACAGCACCACGGGGTGCTGAGACTTTGGCTTTACCTTGGTAGGCAGTTGGCAGGTGCGACTTCTCCACCTTTATTCTGCCTTTCCAGGTTTACGTTTTCTCTTCTGAGTCCTTTGCCTTTCCAAGTAAAATTAGTGTTCTCTCATCAATTCCTGCAAGAAAGGAAGGAAGGGAGTGAGGGAGGAAAGGAAGGAAGGGAGGGAGGGAGAGAAGGAAACAAAGAGAAAGAAAGAAAGCTTGCTGGGATTTTGAGAGGGATGGTGTTGAAGCTATAGCTCAATTTGCAGAGAATTGCCATTTTGACTCTCTGGAGTCTTCCCTCTTCTCTCCCATGTTGGGCTGTTTCATCCCGTCACACATCTCACCCTTTGCTCATTTGTTTCATTGCCTTCCTGTCTGCTTGCCTACATCATTTGGCTGCTCTGATTTGGGTTCTTTCATTATTTCTTCTGTGGTGTGGTCTGTTTTCAACCCTACCCAGCAAGTTCTTGGGCTCAGGTGGTGTTTCTTCTCGTTCTATGAAGCTCTGCTTATGATTCTGCTCCTCTTTGCAGACCTCCATCCCTCTACCTCTTGTTCATCTTGTCATCTAGACCCCTGATGCAGGACTGTGTCTGTGTGCTTGTCTGATAATCCTAACACCTGGGTTGTTTGAGGTTCTGTCTCTGTTGATTGTGTTTCCTCTCACACAGTAAAGCTCTCTTTTTAGAGAATAATGGTCTCCCAGAGAGGCGCCTTGCCTCTGTTGGCAGCTGGGGCAGGGCTCAGTACCGTAATGCAGTGGCAGGCAAGAGGGCGCAGGCTGACTCATATTCTTTGCATTTTATCCCAGTGTTCAGCCTGGCAGGTGAGATCTGCCCTGCAGGCAGTTGTACCCCCCAACCTGTCCTGGGACCAAAACCACAGTACTGTGGCACTTGCTCTGCCTTCTGTACGGCCATTGTGGGTCACAGAACCATGGAATAAACAACATGCCAGCTTTTCTTTAAGATTTATGGGTGAAGGGACTGGTGGAGTGGCTCAAGTGGTAAGAGCACCTGCCTAACAAGCATAAGGCTCTGAGTTTAAACCCCAGTGCTGCCAAAAAAAAAAAAAAAAAAAGATTCATGGGTGAAACATGAAAAAAACCTAGTGAGACGTTTAGGCATTTTTATGTTAAAACTGATTATAAAGTTGTTATGGAGTAAAATACAAAGTTCATTTGAACTTTTGTTTTTGTTTGGTGGGACTGGGGTTTGACCTCAGGACTCTGCACTTGCAAAGCAGGCACTCTACCACTTGAGCCACGCCTTCGGTCCCACATGAGCATTTTTGATACAGCAGGAGACCTTTGTTCTGCCTGTGGCAGGCACCATCTGGCTTCATGCCAGGGCCACTGGGGTTGTTGCCCAGCTTCCCTGGGTGCATGCTGCCCTTCCTTGCATAGCTGGAGAAGTCTGAGGTTGATGCTACTCTGGGCTGCAGATCTGGAACCCTGTTCTTCCTACGCACAGACAAGACTCAAATATCCCTACCCAGGGTAACCTCTGTGGGAATGAGTCAGAGGCTCAAGGCTCCCCTTTGAGGAGCCTCAGGTGTGCCCTTTAACCTTACTGTAAGGAGAAAGGCTTCTGTTGGGAGCATTAACCTAGAAACAGAAAATACAAGCACCTACTGCCCAGGTTCCTTTTCTAACTTTTTTAATGGATGCTTCCTCTTCTCTGTAGGTTTGGGAAAGGTTCTTGAGTTCTGAGACTCCACGGATTAATGTATTTATGGCAGTTCCTACAATATACGTCAAATTGCTAGATTACTATGACAGACATTTCACCCAGCCTCACGTCCAGGACTTTGTGCGTGCAGTTTGTGAAGAAAAAATTAGGTGAGTGCAAGGAACCCACTTTCCTGTCAGGAAGGCTTAGTGATCAGCAGGCAGTGAATGTGCTCTGCTGTTTTAGGGGGAGTTTCCCTCCCTTCAAATGATGCACCTGTGCCTCTCTGTCGTTCTCAGCCTTTGTCTGAGTCCTGTCTGCCCCTTATCTCTGTCTGTCTGTTTCCACCATTTACATCCCTATTGCTCTATGTGCCTTTGGCATCTCTATCTCTTCATCTCCCTCTATTTTCTATGACTCTGTTTCTCTTCTTGTGGTCAGGTGAAGGATGAGGGTGAGGGCAGTGAAGTGGTCCTCTCACTTGGTCCAATCTGATCACACCGCATTTCTCTCTGCCCAGTCTTGACCCTTGGAGCCCTCCCCAGCTGGGGCAACTGCTGCTGCCTTCCTGTCTCCCTGCCTCCTCCCCAGCTCCCTGATAGGTGACTTTCCTCACAGTGATGAGCTGAGTCCTTTGGGCCATTCAATGGCATGAAGTTTGCTCAGTGGTCACTTATGAACCTGTAGACCTGGTTTCTTTCCTGACTTTATATTGAGATGCAGCTTACTAACTAGTAAGTGAACATGATGTAGTTCAGTGATTTGCACACACGGAAAAGATCCCCATTAGCAGCAGAGACATGGGTGGGATGTTTTTCCTTTTTTGCTAGAGGGAGAGGTGATGTGGCACTTACAGAAAGTGGACCAGGGCTGGGTAATAGAACTGTGAGGCCAACCTGAATGGAGAATTCCAAGTGTGAGTTGTATGCATGTTCCACAGCCTGCATGTACACTGCACATCTGGGCTCCTAAGCTGCAGGAGGAGCCCAGGAAGCAGCACCTTGCTTCCTCAAGAGAATTCTGAATTATCAAGGATAAGTGTTTTGCTCCATTTGCTGTTCCTTTGCTCTCTTTCTACAAGACTCTTTGAGGAAATCACAGCTCTGTTTTTGACAGTGCTGCTGCTGACTATCTGCCTGAGTCTACATGCCCAGGTCTGCTGTCTGAAGCAACCTGAGGAACCCAGGACTCAAAACAGGACAGGATTAGTAAATCCACCAAATCTGAAGATCCATGAGCAGAAGGCACAATCAGTGTAGAGGCGACCTCTGATTTAGACTGTGGGGCTCTGGTCAGCTGCATGCTCCTAGGGGAGGGCAGTGGCTGGCTCCTGCTCCATTCAGATTACACACAGCACCTTCCCTCTGCATGTGGTGCTGCTGCAGACTGCTGAAGCAGAGAGCAGCTTGGGTACTCTTGGATGTCATCCATGATGTTGTCAGAGTCACCTGTGAGTCTGATGCCATTAGCCTCTGTGGTCTTTCACTTGGGGCAGCTCCAGCCTGAGTTGTCTCTGCCCCTCAGACCTCAGGCACCATGGCCTTCCATCCTTGAACCAGACTTCACTGTCATCATCTTCTGCTGTAGTTTAGAACTATTTGTGAGCAATGTGGTAATATTTGCAAAGAGTGCCACCAAAGATCCTAAAGATACTGTTTTAATTAACATTCCTCTGAAAAACCTCTTTATACTATTAAAGCATATCCAACAAATTGTTTTCAAAAGGCAGAATTAAGTTTTGCCCAAACTTATTTTGATCATGAATTTAAAATGTAGTGATGTTGAAAGCAGATATGTCACATGGTCTGTCCCATGTCCCATGGTCTGTCCATCACACGTGTAGACAAATGTCTCTCAGTATGAGGGCCCCTTTGGAGCTAAGCCCTATGCTGGTGCTGCCTAGGCTGATGGTGTCCGGCTCAGCGGCCCTGCCTGTCCCTGTTCTGGAGAGGTGGAAGAGCGCCACGGGCCACATACTGCTGGAGCGCTACGGTATGACTGAGATCGGCATGGCCCTGTCCAACCCCCTGACCACAGCTCGCCTGCCAGGTATGAGCAGCCCCATGGCTGCCTTCCTCTCCCACTTCCTCTGAGTCCCTGCAGGTGGCGGGTCCTAGTTCACCTGCATTTGGAGGAGATGGGGTAGACAGCACTGCCTTCAGTGCCAGGCTAGCTGCCCAGAACCATCTTCTCAAGGCACTGGCCATCCACTGTCACACAGCCCTTTCCTCCTCCACCCCATGTGGCAGGCAGGACAAGTGGACCCTTCATCCTAGTCCTGCTGGATCACCTGGGGAAGAGCAGGATCCCAGAGCTCAGGTGAGTGGCAGGTGCCCTAGGGTAGGGTCCCAAACACCTGTGGATAGTCCCCTTCCCTATGGTGAGCACTTCCCCTGCCCTCAGGCACAGCCACAGTTCTGTGTTCCCTTCCTATATCTTTGCTTTTCCAATGTCATACTGACCCCTTACTTGGTGGTGTGCGTTCATCTGTGTGTTTATAGCTCATTCCTATGTTGGAGGAATAAGCTTCAATTGCCAACTGTTCATGGTGTCAGTGTGCCACCGCTATGAACCTGTCCACCAGCTAAAGGACATTTGGCCTCTTTCTAGCTTGGAGCAATTGTGTTACACATGACGTTTTATGAATGACATGTGCAGACTTGGCCTCCTGGGTGTGGCCTCACCAGGTTGTTTGATAATGCTACGGTGTTCCAGAGTGGCCATTCCACTCTGATTCCCCCAGCAAAGACAAGACATGCCAGCCTTCATCCTTGGGAGCTCTGGAGATCGTTGGCTATCTTAAGTTCTAGCAGGTGTATAGTTCTGTCTTGTTTAATTCACATTTCCCTAGTGACTCATGATACTCATTTTTGCATCCTGTGTGGCTTTTTGGTGAGTCTTGAAGCCAAGTGGTTCCATCTTTGTCCCTCCCAAAGGTGTCTTGGCTTTTCTAGTTCCTGTGTCTCTACATGTGTATCAGGGGGATTTGGCTGCTGGTGTGAGGGGAGAAACCGGAGGAAGGTGGTGTTAGATAGAGGCAGGTATGGACACAGTGCTGGAGGTCAGCACGCCAGGCAGGAGACAAAGGAGCATGGTGGGCATGATCTGGAGAGCAGTGGGGGCCATTAGTTTATTTTGAGTGTGGGGAGGTCTGTGTTTGGGTGGGCATCCTGAGCAGAATGATGTATCTTAGAGTAGCAAGATCAGCGACTACTGAGGGAAGAGCTGCCAGCAGGGACACCAGGGCTCCTGTGGAGGCAGGGGCAGCAAGGGTGAGGCTAGACATGTTATGAAAAGGTGGTATGACATATAGAAACAGATTGAAGTTTTAGATTCCCAGAAACCACTGTCACATTGGGTTGCACCAGCCACTCAGCTGATGTCTGCCACAGAGCAGAGCCAGATCTACACCAGTCTGCTGCAGCTAAAACTGCCTAGTGGAAATAAGATGGGGTGCTTGATCCCAGACTGGAGGGGCACCTTGAGTCTCCCTGCCCTCCCTTCTCCTCATCATTGGTAGCTGTGATGGCCAATGCAGAAAGCTGCCCTCCTGCAAGTTACTGTGTCCCTGGAATGAGCTACTGATCAGAACTTACTTGCAGTGTTTTTTTGGCCAGAGAATCCCATGGGCACCTACAAACCAGCATTGTAGTGACACCAGTTCACCTGAGTGAAGGAAGGGCAGCAAGGCTCCAGGCTCAGTCCCTTCTTTTTCTAGAAGCACTGTGGGCAGGACAAGTTCCCTGAGGTCAGAACCAACTGACTAGAGTCTGCATTGAGAACCATACTGTTCAGCTCATGGCAGGGCTTTATGTGCATCCTCACAGAGCAGCCCCTCTGCTGGATTGCTACACCCCATTTCACACCAGGATACAAATGCAGGGAAGCCTAGTTGGCTCTTGGGAGTCATGGTAGACTCTCACACCTTCAGACTGACTTGCCACACTGTTGGAAGCACCGTGGTAGGACAGAGCCCATTTTTGGAGGGAGAATGGACTTAAGAAAGAGAGCAAATGAAAGGGTGAGAGTCCAAGGCCAGGGGCAGGACAGGAGGAGCAAGGAAAGGACAATACAGGACTGCCCACATGAGGCCACGGAGGGACCAACCACACTGAAGACATGGAGGACATCCACCTGAGTCCATGGAGGACGTCCACACTGAGGCCTTAGAGGACACCCAGAGGTCATGGAATACCATACAATCGCAGACTGTGGGGGAACACTCCTCATGAGTCTGTGGGGACCTTAGCCATTCAGGGACTCACTACACCATAGGGTGTTAAGGTACAGAACAGAGCCCAGGTAGAGAGCTTCTCCACAGTGGAGTCTGATTCCCAAGTAAGCATCAGGAGCCTGAGGGTCTCTGACCATGCCTGCCTTTTTTGCTGTCCTGCTGACTAAGGAACAGGGATCCAAAAATGTTGAAACTCAAGGTTTATTGGGGAAGTAATTGGAAAGCAGAAAGTCTTGAGGACTGGCCGTAGCTCTTGGCCTTATAATGCATGGGAGGTTGGGGATGGTTGCTGTTCTCTAGACAGAGTCAAATACCTGTGACTTCTGTTCCAGTCTTCAAGTTACCAGAGCAGCTGGACCAACCCCACAGCCCAGTGCAGTCCAATTCTCTCATTTGGGAAAAAGTAGCCCCCAACATTAAATTGAAGTCCTTTACGGATGTCAAGGAGTACACTTCCTGGAGAAGTGTTCCTAGAGATGAGAGTTTGAAAGCTCTTCTTGTACCTTCAGCTTTGGTCAGGTTCCCAGCCCCAACTGTGCCACATACCTGTGTAACCCTGACCTCTAGGCCAATGCTTTGCTTCAGCCTGAGCCTCTGGATTTGCATCCTAGTCCTTTACTCCTCCATGCTGCTTCCAGCTGTAAGTCTCTTTGGCCAGCCTTTACTTCCTTCCTTCTGCCCGCAGAGCCTCAGGGTGTTATGCCTGTGGTGGGGCCCACATGAACACCAGGATTCATTTGAAGTCTGGAACCTGTCAGACACAAGGCAAGGTCAGCTCTGTGAATGGCAAGTGTTGCTGTTTGCTAGTGCCTCTGCTCCTCTTCCTTCATGGGTTGCTGTGAAGAGAGAAATAATTCATGGCTGATCTCTTGCTGGGGCCAATCACACTCTAATTGGAGCTGAGGTCAGAGGTGCCAAGAACCCCTACAACAAGAGCTATAATGTTGACCGAAGGGACTCCAGGACCTCGTCATCTGTGTCCCCTCTCCCAGCGCCCGGGTATATAAAGAGGCTGTGTACCCCCAGACTCTGGGTGGAGGCCAAAGGTAAATTCCTTATCTGGGAAGAGCTGACATCATCCTGTCCTAAAAAGCCAGAGGGCTGTTAAAAAAATGACAGTGCTTCCCCCATACAATGAATAAATCCTAATTTAAAAAAAAGAAAAAGAAAAATGGCAGTACTGCCCTTCCTGTCTGTAACCACACTGGCCTACGAGGGGCCCTGTCCATGTCCGCACTGGTTCCAGATCCATCCAACGCCTCCTCAATGCCACAGATGGTTAGACATGTGGGACAGCTACACCTTTCTACCTTAGGGCAGCCCTGGGGTCAGACTCAGCTCAACCCAAGGGATCCTTATGTTCCCAGGGCCTGAGAGTGCAGCTCACAGCCCAGGCCATGGAGCTCAAGTGCACATCTTGGGAAGGTGGGCTGTCTTCTGAGTCAGCACTCAGGGAATGAGGTGTTATACTGCTGCTAACAGAGCTCAGATGGAAAAGGAACCAAGAGTGGGCTTGTACTCCTAAGTGAGGATGGGTGGTCCTGTGTATGATTTTGTACTAAGGCCGATGAAAGTCTTTAATGGAAAGAGCATGGCCTGCCTGCAGCAGTCACCCTTAGCTCTATGTGTCTGCCAGGAACTTCAGGATGTCCCTGACCATAAAAAGGGTGGCAAGTCTTTGACGGGGCTTGGTGTTCCTCAGACCTCAGGCTGGCTATCTTCCAGCCCTACACCCCACCTCATTCCAGCCTCAAAACTGCCCTGTGGATGCAGATAAAGCACTCTGACCTCCTCATGCAGCTGCCTTCCTCTGTACTTTGCTCACTTCTTCCCATCACCTTTTTACACACACACACACACACACACACACACACACCCAGTGGGCAAAAGCTGCAGTCCCAAATGAGCTGGAGCCAAGATTGGCTGCTGACATCTGACCATGAAACAGGAGGGAGGCAGCCATGTGAGGGGTAGACACTGCCAGCAGAAGTTGGTCTGCAGTAGCAGGTCGGCCCTCATCCCATCTGTTGGTCCTCAGCAGGTGCAGCAGGTGCAATGCTCAAGAGGAGCAGTGGGACCCAGGTGGCCTAGAGGACAGGAGCCACCCCAGCACTGAAAGGGGGTCCTTCAAGGCAATGAGGTTATTTAGCCTAGAAAAGACAGTAGCCCTGAGGTCACCTGGGATCACCTGGAAGCCTGTCTGGAGGCCGAGTGGCATCTGCTCTTCATTCCTCTAAGCTTCTGGCAGGGAGAACATGAGCTAAGAGCCGGCTGGACCTGACTGTCAAGGACATGACACCCCAACTACACAGCAGAGGTATAAACACTCCCACCCCCAGCTGTATTGATGTCTTGTGCCTGTTCAGCCTTGGCCCCAAGGAGATGTTCTGCCAAGAAGAAATGACGTCATAGATTACATGGTTCCATTCCTGTAAAATGTCCAGAATAGAAAACCCCACAGAGACAGAGAGCTGATCACGAGGTGCCAGGATCAGGGATATGGGCTGATGCTGCCAGGCACGTGTTTCTTGGGTAATGAAGAGGCTTTGAAGCTGGAGAGTGGGGCATCCATACAACACTGTGAGTTACTAAGTGTCCTGAACTGTGCTCCAAAACAATGAATTATGCTGCATCAGTCCACATCTGTTTTTAAAGTCTTAGAAGCCAAGAGAAGGGGGGTGTTGCTGAGTTGCATCCTACTAGGTTGGGGACACTGCTAAGGTGAGGTGTGGGATGTCTCCACACCTGGAGCAGTGGAGAAGCCCCTGGACAACAGCTCTTCCACATGCCTCAACTGTACAGTGGGACTTCAGGCATAAGGGACTCACACTTCTCCCTAAAACAAGGCTGGGTGGACAGACTACCAGGAGTCTGGTCCCAGGACCCTGAGTGATTGTGACAGTCCATAAGCTCCCTTCCTGAGACTTTTATCCTGTGGCAGATCCACATTGATTCTGGTGGTAAAAATAAAGACCTTGAACCATAAAGTGAATTCTCAGGAGAGGTGTATGTGGACGGTGTCCTCACACCTGGGTGCAGTGACACTACCCTCTGCTCTGTCCCCCACCTTATTCTTGGCACCAGCACTGACACTGTGTGAGGCAGGGTTTCTCCAATCCAGTCTTGCACACCTACCAGGAATGCAAGCCGACAGCAGAGTCATGCTTAAGCATAGACTGTAGTGGGCAGGGCTGTGGCTAGGAGCCTGTAGGATGTCATGGATGTATCCCGATATCTGTCCTGCCTTACCTTTGCAGGTGGAAGGAGTGATTCCAGTGATACAAGGGCAGCACAGTACACTGAGCCAACTATAGGTGCAGGTTACACCCACCTCCCCTGGACCCCACCTACTTCTAGCCTCAGCAGCCTGCTTTAGCCTGATCCTATACACATCAGTCCCCTTATCAGACAATCCCTGGTTCATTTAGCTGGGGTAGCAGCTCTCCTGTGGCCAGGCAGGCAGAGTAAGGAATCCACCATGGTGGTCGTGAGGCCTCCTGAGTTCACCTGGACAGCCACATGGCCCACAGCAAGTGTCCCTGCACAACTGCCAGCAACCATCATGATAGTGATAGTATCAGTCAGACCTGAGCTCACCTCCCGCTGGCTGTTCACACAGTTTGTGTGCGCTGCTGCACTTACATCTCTCAGGTTATGGGGCACATCACCTCCCAACGCTGACTCCCAAGAGTTGTACACATGCGTAGGCACACACAAACCCAGCCTAAACCCTAGCTGGTGTGTTTTGTCTTCTGGATCCTTCCAACTCCTGCCTCTTGACTGTGTTTCTTACTTCTTCAGGTTCTGTGGGAACCCCGCTGCCAGGGGTGGAGGTGCGCATCGTCTCAGAGACCCTGCAGAAGGAGGGCTCCTCCTATGCCATCCATGCAGAGGGAGGCGAGAAGGAGACAAAGGTAATTCTGGGAGGTAGGGCCCACCTAGCACACAGGCCATAGGCCAGGAGGTTACCTCTGTTCCTTGGGGCTTGACTCCCTACCATGCCTTGGACAATAGAGACTCTGACCGATGGAGACACTGACTGGCATGACTGGATTGCCTATTAATTCCAGGCCTTACCCACCCCCAGGAGAGTGGACAGAGTGGAGCCAAGCCAAGGTGTGCCCTGCCCGGGTGTTTAGCCCAGCTCTTCTCCAGGGCTCTGTTCATGGAGGGGGTCTCCAAGAGGGGTCATTATGGCCTTGCTAAGGAGAAGCCTGGGGTAGCACAGCAGCAGAACGTGCTGGAGACATTGAACTGGCTACACTGACATCGTCACAGAGCCTACATGCTCAGGTTACCCTTCTGCTGCAGTCAGTGCTGCTCTCTTGCTTTTGCACATCACTCTGAATTTGGCAAAGGTGAACAAGAAAAAGAACATAGTTTTATTTCAATGAGTCACAGTGTTTGGGGAGTCATAGGAAATGAAAATTTTGACCTGAAGGAAATTGCTTTCTGTAAGGCTGATACTGGTGCCGGTATTGCATTTGGCCTGAGAGGGTTTAAAAGATGTGGAGTCTTGAGTCCTCCTTCGGGCCACTTCCTTCCCCACTGCACTGTCTTGCTAGCTGGCCTCTCAGCCCTCCATGGCACTCCAAGCCTGCAAAGACAGCCACAGCAGGTCAAATGGGCCTGCCCTTGGTACACCACAGTTAGCCCCATCCTCATGAACTTTGGCCTCTACCTCTGACAGTCAAAGCTTTGGGAGATGCTTGCTGGTGCTCCATCAAGCAAGTGGCTGGGACATGGTGGCTCTGTTATAAGTTTGTGGAAAGTCTCAGAATAACATTAGGAAGCAGTTGTTTTGTTTACCCAGGAAAATCTCTTGTCTGCTTCACCTGCAGGTGTGGAGGGTCAGCAGTGCCTCTCACCTGGGCTGGGCTCCCTGTGGGCCTCATTAAGCCCCTGTCCTCCAGCTCTCCCTTCTGGGCAGTTCAGGGTTCCTGATGCTGTAGTCCCCGCAGTCCTGTGAGGCAGCCTCCCTGAAAACTACCCTCTTAACCTGTTCTTGGCTGGAGGCTGCTCCCCTTTCCCACTGTTGGGTGGAGTTCTGCTTCCTCAGGTTAGCGGAGGCCCTAGGCCTGGGCTATCTGCCCTGACAAGTGTCACCTTGGTGCTACCTCTGCCACACTGAACCAGAGTGCCAGCCACAGCCTGCACATTTGGTGTTCAGTCATGGGCCTCTCCTATGCCCTCACACCCAGGTCACCTGCCTGCCCCAGGCTTGGCCGACCCAGCCCTCTCTGTAAAGATGGTTTGCCCTCAGGCATCAGGTCAGCAACATGTTCTGTCATCAAAGAGCAGTGCCTGAAGGAACTGCCAGTCAGAAGGCTGACACCTTGCTGCAGGGGTCTGGCCCTCCAGGTAACCTTAGCTGGCAGACTCAGCCTCAGAAACACCTGTTCTGTAGGAAGTGGCAGAAATGTTGCCAGAAAAAGGGGTGAGATGGGAACATTTCTGTCTTACAATAAAATTTGACTGCCTTATACCTGCAGTAGCAAGCAGCGGGCTCCACCTGACCACCCTACTGCCCACACTTCTTTAGTTGTTTCTGACTACAGACAGCTCTTCCCTGAGACTGGCTTAAAATACGAAGAAGCAGCAGCCCCACCCCAGGGCACCTTGACAGTGTGAGAGAGAAGGCTGCTCTGGGGACATGTGGGCCCCACGCAAGCCCTAAGAGGAGTCAGGAGAGCATGAGGCACATCCTGGATCCATAAGCAGCCTGTTCTGCAGCATTTCCCATCCAGCCCCCATCAGGAACATCTCCACAGGAGACCCAAGGCCCTTTTGTGGGGAGAGTACAACACAGAGCGCCTGCTTCCTCCTAGCAGATGCAGGATCTGAGCTGCCCTAGGTCCACCATGAGTACAAGAGACTGCCTGGGAGCCAGAGCTGTAGGTAGGGTGGATGCTGCCTAGGCTAAGAGCCTGCCACTCAGCAGTCCCACAGCAAAGACAGAGATCTCACACTCAGCATTTTACCCAGTGGCTCCTCAGTGCTGGGTAAAGACACCCCTATGCTGCACACTTTTACCGCCACAATGCAGGATCAACATTGGCTCTGGGATGTTGTTGCAAACTTTTATCTAGTTTGTTGTGGCATGATGGTGTATGTGGCTCTTCCTCCCCCTCTGTTACTCTGCCTCATGTGGTCAACAGGTCCTTGTGCCTGGATTAAGAGGCACAGTGCCGTCGTGAGGTATCTGTCAACAAATGAGCCTACTGCAGAATGGATGTGCCTGTGGGGCAAGAGGACCCCTGAGCTGAGACCCACAGGCTGATAATGTCGGGGCTTCCTATTCAGCCTCACTCTGGCAGTCGTTATTGCTTATCACTTTGCGGATGAATCCTTGTACTGACAGTCCTGTGTCCCTCATCACCTGTTGTGGGTCCCCAGCCTCCAATCTGTGCTGTCATTAGTGAGCCTGATGGGGTTTCCTTCATGCTTACACAGTACGCATGTTCTAATAATTTTGAGCTGAGTTTGTCACCATTTTCACTCTGTTTTCTCACATTTAGCTGTAAATCCTGAAGCATTTACTCATGAGATTGGTCTCTTAAGAACTCAGCTTCACATGCGGGGGGTTACTCCAAGCCTCACTTCTACTTGGCAGTAGGTGGTACCCACTGTGCCCAGTGTCCATGTGTGGTGTGGAGGTCAGGCCTGCGGAGCCGGTGGTACCCATGAGGATTCTAGCTAGGTCCACAGACAAGACGGCAAGTGCCTCAGATCCTCCTCTCTGTGAACTGTGGTCAGCGGTAGGTCTGCCATCATACACCCTGCCTGGTGGGACGTCTAGGCTAGCTCCACCACCCTTTGGAAGGCATACCTATGTGCAGAGCTGCAGCAGCAGTTGTCTACACAGGTCTTTGTGCTCATTGCCCGGGGTTCTTAGAATGTGCGATCCTCGCCAGGCCCTGCCTGTGCAGTGCTACCCAGCTTCTGACCCAACCTCACACTCCAACCCACTCGAGCCAGCTGTGCCCTACATAGAAACAGGATGAGCCTCTCTGTCCATGAGCCCTCCTGGGCTTCTTTCTCCTGATGATCCTGACAACACCCCAGAGGTGGGTTGCCATTTTCTTTGGACATGTGCCAGAACTGTAGCATTTTAACAAGGTCAGATTCTCTGCCTTCTAAAGTTATTACTTTTGGCTTGGGATGGTAGTACATGCCTATAATCCCAGCTACTCTAGAGGTGAAGATCTGGAGGATCATTGTTTGAGGGCTGCCTGGACAAAAATATGAGACCATACCTGAAAAAAATAACTAAAGTAAAAAGGGCTGGGTGTATGGCTCAAGTGATAGAGCACCTGCCCAGCAAGCACAAGGCCCATTGTTCAACCCCTTATACTACCAAAAAAAAAAAAAAAAAAAACTTTCCACTTTGGGCTGGGGTATAGCTCCATGGTAGAATGCTTGCCTAGTGTGCAAAGCTCTGGATTCAATCTCCAGCACTGCAAAAAATAAAAGCATAGAATTTATCACTTGATTGCCCCCAAACAAGCTCTTCCTACTTCTTCAGTTAGGAGTAGTCACCTAGTGCACTTACTGTGAAGATCAGCAACCCCTCACTCTACATGGGAATCCATACAGAGGGGACAGAAAGAAGACAGTGAGTGTATGTTCTGTGGTCGTGACTTCCTCCTTTGTTTGCTCCAAGATGACCACGAACCATCCCTGTCAGCCTGCTGAAGCCCCACCCTCACACACTACCCCATACCCTCATCCCCCCTACCCCTGCCCCAGCTGCTGCTCCACCTCACCCCTCCCCTGTGCAGCTTTGGAGATGGAAGCAAACCTGTTCATCAGGAAAGAACACCTATGACTCCTTGCTCTATAGCTCTCTCGCCTTTTGAAATCAAAGATCCTGATGGTAGTGGGACCCTTCACAGGTTCTCAGTTCCTCAGGAGCACTGTTTGCCACCCTGACAATCTTTTGTAATCATAGGTGTGCTCTGGGCAGTGGGAGTTCGTTCTTGGGATGAGGACATGGTGTTAAAGAGGAGTAGTAAGAGCTGCACATTGAGTCCTCTCTGGAAAGCAAGCCACATGCACAGCACTGTGCGGAATGAGAAGAGTAGGCTGTCAGTTCTCCAAATGGCATAGCACAGGGCTGAGCAAGAACACCTGCAACCTGGCAGGTCTCCCATGGCTGGCCCTTCTGCAGTGAGACCATCCTCATGCCAGTCTTATCCTAGAGTCTATGATTGCCATGGCCATGGCTAGATGGTCCCAAGGCTAACAGCCCTTGACACTGTGTCCCAAGTATCTGCCACTCTGTGGCCAGGCATCTTGTCTTGCAGCTTTGGTGGGAGTTTGGACATTGAAAGAACCAGCACCTGTCCAGATCCCCCCTCTCCTCCCACCCGCCAGGGCATTGCTCCCTCAGAAGTTGTTCCCCCTTGGTTTCCTCCAGGCTGAGGCTCACAAGAAGCATCCTCGGCCTGTCTCCCTGCTGTGCTAGAGGGGTTAACTCCCTCCTGTACACATGGCCTGCTTTGTGGGCTGTGATGCATATTTCATATGCCGTGGTCCCCAGCTGGCTCCCACTGTCAGCCCCGTGAGCACATCAGCCATTGTCTCTTTATTTATTTATTTCTTATTTTTTCAAATTGCTCGCTTACATGAGAGCCAAACACCAGTCAGGGACAATGGGGTCTATCAACAGATAAATGGCTGCACAGCTGTGTATAACACCACCCTGTAACAAGGCTCTTTACACTAGCTGTCTTCTCCTGCTGAGGATGCAGAGACTGAGGGTGGGCTGGGGCAAGCAGCCACAACTGCAGCAAACTCAGTTCTCTTTATTTCCTTAAAAAAATTAATTACCTCATTGTTTCTCCATATGCAAGCCATCACTCTGGACAGCAGACCGCTCTGTTGTTGCCTTCCCTCCCCATGGACACCAGCA